GGCACCCATTCACGGCAGAGGATTCACTGGTAGCAAGTGATGTAATGCTAAATTTATCAAAATCTTTTCTGATGATGAAACAAACTCATCTACATCTTGGATGGCCTGAGGCCTTTGAGCAAATTTTAATTTTGGGGTAAACTAATCCTTTAAAGGGGTCATATGATGCTTTTTTAAAGATCATTATTTCGGAAGGCCAAATAAAGTGCTTTTGCTTTCGCCTAGAAACACACAGCGTCTCCCTGACATGGCTGCGTCAACACTAACTGCGGTTACAGAAACCACGCCTTCTTTCGTTTCCGTGCACATTTGGGCGGCATTATGCAAATATTTCCACATAGTGAGGTAGATATTTGGGGGCGTGTTAGAACGAGCCGTTTTAGGGGGGGCGTGGCAGAGTCTTAACTTTGATAAAGTATATCTCTTTGGTTTTGAGACTTTAGTCTTTGCAACTTCAGGGATCTTATCTATGCACAATCAGCTTGTAACACTCCAAAGAGAAAGGAAAACTTGAAATCGCATCATATGACCCCTTTAAGAAGATCATCATCATTATTCACCCAAAAATGCATCTCACAAATGCACCTCCTCTGAAATGTGAGATTCTGTACGCACACTCTCACCTCTCCATTGCTGCAAGGCTCTGCTGTGGAGTATTTCTGAGAGCAGCTCTGTCCATCCTCCAGGCTGAACACTTCACTGCAGTTGTGGGCATACAGCATCAGAGCGCTCCATGTGCGCCCAAAGTCCTGCGAGTGCTCTATCGCCCTGGCAGCAGGGAGTGGTGACCGAAATATGATAATGAGGTGGGTGAAGTAAAATTCCACCTCCAAATCCAGCTGTAGAGTTTCTATGGAAACACCATGAGCGGACTGCCACCAGGTCGGTGGGTGTTTGAAGGGTGAGTCTGTCATGGACACAGGTGGGTGTGCACGGTGCATTACTGAAGCATCACACACCTCACAATGCAACACACATCTATTCATTTTGTAGACAGGGCTACAGTAGTGTTCTGGAGAGGCAGAGCCACACTGGGAAATTGTCTGTACAGGACGCCCGACTGCCAGGTTCCCCATGCGTGGATTACACACCCGATTCTCACATCCTGGTACACATTAAAAAAAAAAAACACACTTATAAAATACAGTACATTACACAAACATATTGCCTGAATGTACAAAAAAAGGTAGTTAAATGACCCACATTCCAACTGATGACTAGAAGATACAGTTGTCCTAAAAAGCAGTTTGGGGGGAAAAAAAGTAACTGCAAAAACACGTGTAGTTCCGAGATTCTGAGGATTTAGCAGCAGCATTTATTTGCAGATCACTTCTTTATTAGTTAAACCAAATAATGCAATAAAATTCATACATTTAACTATAAAGTTAGCATTTTTATGAGGCTCCTATATTTATGTTGTTATTTCACTTTAATAGCATAGAAAAGTACCTATACATTACCATTAAAGTAAAATGACTGAACTCAAGCATAGGAGCCTGACAAAAATGCTAATTTTAGGTGAAAATTTCATATGGCACTTAGAGGCTTTTGCATCTGAACTCTTCAATTGTAGAATCAATCTGCTGAATGCATATGGGCTGGATCCAGCAACATCTGGGTGTTGGGTGTGTATGCTAATACAAAGTTTGTTTTTGTTTTGCATATTCAAATCATGCCCGTCTCTTTCTCTCCATATCAACCAGTTCGTCAGACGCCTTGCCTCTCTGTTTCGTTGACAACCAGCTAACCCGTTTTGATCGCACGTGCGGGTGAATAGTTTGCATGCGTAAAACACTGACCTGATGACACAGGGTGAGGAACGCTCATCACGAGCGCTGCGAATAACACACATCTCACTGGCAGCTCCATATTAGTCAGCAGTCCAAGAAAAAAGCCACAAATTACACGTATCGAACCCCGCGAGGGGTCTTAATCCACAGTACGCACGGGAACCCGATTCCACTCCAGAGCCTTTCAGATTGCATGTAGGAGCACGACTTCATTGGCGTGGGTTGGCCAGGTGCGCAAACGCTGAGCGGAGGTGATCTGCTCCCATAACAAACTGAAACTATTCATCTGAAATAGGACACAACTCTCGCGCGACAACGCCATCGGTGTGTAACCTCAAATACGCGTCTATCAGAGGCACTTCTGTCCCCGGTGACAACTGTCCGGCCGCGCTGCTCGCGTAGAAGTGAGTTGTGCGTGTGTTTTGCTCTGAGTGCGACTCGTGGGGCTGCGCGTGCTGCTCTGTAACACCTGAGCTGGAATCTGGTGCCCCTGAGTGACAGGACCTTTGAAGAACAGAGGCCACGCCCCTTCTCCCAGCATTTTTCTCGTTTTAATGGAGCATTCCTGGCATGAGTCGTCTGAGTCATTCAGCGTCAGATCTTGCAGGATTTGCTCTCTCTCTTTGCACCTCTCTCACTTTAGAAAACATGTTTACCTAGTCTAGCTATCTAAATGGACATTTTCTATCGACTTATATTATTAATTAGGCTAACTATAGACTGTAGACTAACTCTATCCAAATGTAACACATTTAATCTCTTCAGGAGCCATTTTTCTTTTACATTTTCTTAACATATTAATTCCTCTAATTGTGTTATCTTTGATCATTATTTTCACTCATTTTATATTCAGTTATTATTACATGGAAGTTTGTCTTAATGCCCCATATAATGATTTATGTATAATAGTTTATAAAAAATAAACTTTCCAAAAGGGGGGTTTCGAAGCGATGTTTTAGAATAACCATTTTTGTTCCCCCAATAACCTTTCAGTGAACAGTTCTTAAAAGAATAATGTTTTATTAAGTGTGAAGAACATTCTGAAGAGCACAAAACATTTTTTTTCCCCTCTATAAAGAACATAGAACGGAAGAATTCCACATGAAACCATCAATGCCAATAAAGAACCTTTTTTTAAGTGGGTAGGTTAAAAAATACAAATACATTGAAAACGCCTGAAAATGACAAATATACAGGCAATGTTAAATATAATGTTTTATATACTCTAATAAGGCACTCTGTCATTTAACAAAGCAATGTAGAGTAAACAGTAAGGTTATAATTTAAAAGATCATTCAAATGTTATAATTATTAGCATAATGTAATTCTGCATTCTGTAATTTCGAACACTGTGATAAACACTGTTTCATTCAGCATTCTGATGTCCTAAACGACACTGTTTCATTATGCTTTCTGTACGACACTGTTTCACATTGTTCTGTTTATCAGTTTTATTTATCAAGATCTTATTTGATAGTCAGAAGATTCTTGGATGACGCTTGTTTGATCTCATTAGAACTGGTTCCAAATTATGATGAAATTCCTACTGTAACTAAAATATCAAAGCATTTCGAGATGTAAATCTTGTGAAATCAGCTGACAGGAAAAGAGAGTGTAGCCTATACTGATTTGATGAAGGCCGAGATTGGTCAACAGGAAGGTAGTAAAGGATAAAAGACCAGTCACTTTCTGAAATATTGAAAAAGTACTTGTCTGGAATGCGGATCTGCGAAAGATTTCCGTTCTAATCTGCTGTGTGGGCTTTCAGGCAGCTTTGCTAAGCTTTGATTCATTTACAAAGTACCCAACACATCACTGGAACAATTCATATAACTCATCTACAAAGAGTTTATTTTGTGCTGAAGGTACACTCTAAAAAATGCTGGGTTAAATATAACCCAGCGCTGGGTTAAAAAGGGACAAACCCAGCTATTGGGTTGTTTTGACCCAGCGGCTGGGTTTGTCCCTTTTTAACCCAGCATTTTTTAGAGTGTACACACAGTAAATTAATCAATTCTGTCTATCTATCTACCTCCTTTCATGCAATAGACCTGGTAAAGAATCTCTTGGCATATCTAATCCATCCTGTCAGCCATGTAAACATTTCAAATATGGCCTCTTTTGAATAAATGATTGCTGGGTTTGTCCCTATTTTACCCAGCACTGGGTTGTATTTAATCCAGCATTTTTTAGAGTGTAATGAAATGCAAAAACCTGCAGGACAAGTCTTTAGATAGAATATGAATCAACTGCGCAAGATCTAACTGCATGCATTTTATTTATTCATTTATTTTTTAAATGTAGGTATTGAGAAATGCACGTACTTAATAATACAAAAATAGTAAAAGGCATTCTATTTCATTCCAGACTATCCATCCAGGCCCGAGAAGGGTGTTCCTGCACAACCGGAGGCTGCAGCCTCAGATCCCTGTAACTTTACAATGAAGTCCAGCAGTCTCTTTACCTCTGCAGTGTGGTCATCGACAGCCTGAATGTGGATTTCCTCTGAGATAGCACTCTGTACACTGGCTGAAGAGTTCCTTGGAGCAGGTTTCTGGCCTCATCAGTCCAGAAGGCAAACCGCTGACCATGCCTTTCAAACATCAACCAGATTAATCTAAAATACTGCCAAAGGGACAGGCTAATAACACATATTGTGGCGCAACCAAGCAATGAGCCCAGTTTAATTATGAAAGATTATTTATACTGAACTAATCTGCTAAAACAATGAATATAAAACAAGTTTTCACACTAATACAGTAAGCTACAGGTAAATCTGACACATCTCACATCAACATGCTTTTATCATCTTTTTAAGTTTAACTGATGTGCTGGCTAGATTTACTTATTGTAGTCATTATGTCAACAAGGTTTAGCTTAATTAAATCATGGCCACGAATTAAGAACATCGTAATAATCAATAAAACTAGCAATCGGGAATTCATTATTATTTCTTAGCAGTTCTCACGTTGGCTACGTAAACTTTGCATCGTTTTAAGGTTATAAAATAAAACTTAATTGAAAATCGGTAAAGTTACTCACTCTGATTGCTGTCCGTGTCGTCCATCTTTAGTGATCCAATTCGGTAGGTGGCGCTGTTACAAAAGAATAGGGTCCTAGAACTGCGGTCCTGAAACTGCAGCCTCCGGTTGTGCAGGAACATACTATTGGGGGGCCAGGCCCACTGTGCTGACATGGTGCTATTACACGCCAGTGCTGCGTGTGGCGCTGTGAGCAGTCGCGCTCTTCTCTCCCGCCGTGCGGTCAAAGTGCGCTCGTAGTCCTTCCCTCGTGCGAGTGTGCTGCCATAGCCTATGCTATTTAAATAAACAATTTTTTTCTTCTGAAATACTACTTTGGCAGTCTAGTCATGGTAAGTTCAACAGAAACTTTTACTTTTGGCTTAATATTTGAGGTTTTGTAAAAGCGAGGTGGTTTTCATTCAGGAGTGAACTGATAATGCGGCTGCGTGTTAGCATCTGGAACGGAACGTAGATTGGACGTTGTTTTCAGTAAGTTAAGTTAGTGATCAAATGTTTTGTTAGTAACACTGATATCGTAGGCTGTGTTACAGCCTGGTCAGCTGCCTAGATAGTGTTTAAGATGCTATCTGTGTAGAAAGCTCGCTTGGTTTCCTTGTGAGAAAATCTTAAGGGTCTGTGTGTTGTATTTCTCTGTTCATTTCGCAACTAACTAATTCTAGTGGAATACCATAAGACGGTAAACTTAAGTTCATATTGAGAAGGAACGTGTTCTCTTAAGAATAAAATTGTATCGTATATGGTAAAATCTTCATAAGAACCCTGTATTTAATTGCAATAATGTCTTTCTCATTGACAGTTATTTTTTATTTCATTTTTTATTGGAATATTAATTCCTTGTGATATCCCACAGAAGAATTTTACCCGATCGAGGACCGATTCTTACTTGGGACTAGGCCTGTCGCAATAATCAATATATCGACTTATCACGCACGGAGCTGATCGCGGCCGCTCTAGTCAGTGCTTGTGTTGGGATTATACCAGCACGTTTCTGAACCATCCCAGAAGCGGCTCTCCAAGGCGTTTATACAGCGATCTGTCATGCCACATCAAAGACTGTCAAAACGCCATTTATTATTTGAATTTCCGGAGGAAAAAAAAAAGAAAACTGTATTCGTTCGGTTCACATGCGTACCGAACCGAAAGACCCGTACCGAAACGGTTCGGTATGAATACGTGTACCGTTACACCCCTAATATATATATATATTTATTTCTTTTAGAGGTCGACCAATAGTGGATTATACCGATAGCTAGGTTGGACCACACTGGCCGATACCGATTAATGTACATTCACATGATTTGGGACAAATATTATGTAATTTAATAGAACACTATGTGAATGGCGCTCTGTTCAGCAGCAGGATATTCTGCCGGCTGCATTTAAATGTGCGTCTGGAGTTTCCCGCTCTGTGCAGTGCGCAGTGTCACGTGTCAAAATAAACAACACGTTCTGTCAGTGATTTCCACCACTAGAGGCCGCTCTCGTACTGTATAATGGCAGCGGACCCTTCTCAGCCACTCCAGCAACGGACGCAACCCGGAAAACTATCGCATTGATTTTTGCCGATAACCGATAGTTCTGCCAATCAACTATCGGTACCGATTAATCGGCAAAACCGATTAATCGGTCAACCTCTAATATATATATATATATATATATACAGTGGGTACGGAA